GAATTATTTTATTATGTTTAATCATCAAATACGTTAATCGTAGCATCACTATCGTCACGTTCTTTCGGTAAAGTCACGTAGAAGGGAAGTAATACAATAATAAAAATAAAACATAATAAAATAATTATCACTATTATTTTGAGAATTATTTTTGTTTTATTTTTATTATTTTATTTTATAAAAATAAAATAATTCTCACTATTATTTTGAGAATTATTTTTGTTTTATTTTTATTATTTTATTAAAATAAAATAATTCTCACTATTATTTTGAGAATAATTTTTTTATGTTTAATTTTTATTATTTTATCAAAATAAAATAATTCTCACTATTATTTTGAGAATTATTTTTTTATGTTTTATTTTTATTATTTTATTACTTCCCTTCTACGTGACTTTACCGTAAGAACCAAGACGATGAATCCCTGCAGTCACGAAAGCTTTCAATCAATTAGACGGAGAAAGTGGGCGGGGTTTGAATCTTCCGACTTTTGGAAGATGTCTTCTCGTCGTTCGGTTGCGTCATCTTCCGATTCCGGTGGCGGAAGATGGCATCTATATTTAGAAACGATGACTCACCACTCTCAAGCGAAATGAGCTCATGTGTTTGTGTTTGTGAGATATTAAACAAAAGTGTCATCACTCACGTTTATTTTTAGCACATTAGTCACACGCAAACAGTATTTCGCAATGCTATAACTTCATGCGTTCTTTGAAAACTCAAGAAAAAAATGTTTGGCCCAGTTATTGTTGGCAAAACTCCACACTCATTAAAGGTGGAACGTTGAACCAACCATTCTAACCACAGCCCAACATTGCCTCAACGTTGGTAAAACCATTCTCACCACATCCCAACGTTGCCTCAACGTTGGTACAACCATTCTCACCACATCCCAACGTTGCCTCAACGTTGGTACAACCATTCTCACCACAACCCAACGTTGCCTCAACGTTGCTCCAACCATTCTAACCACAACCCAACGTTGCCTCAACGTTCGTCCAACCATTCTAACCACAGCCAAACGTTGCCACAACGTTGGGCCAACCATTCTCACCACAACCCAACGTTGCCTCAACGTTGGTCCAACCATTCTCACCACAGCCCAACGTTGCCTCAACGTTGGGCCAACCATTCTCACCACAGCCCAACGTTGCCTCAACGTTGGTCCAACCATTCTCACCACAGCCCAACGTTGCCTCAACGTTGGTCCAACCATTCTCACCACAGCCCAACGTTCCCTCAACGTTGGTCCAACCATTCTCACCACAGCCCAACGTTGCCTCAACGTTCGTCCAACCATTCTCACCACATCCCAACGTTGCCTCAACGTTCGTCCAACCATTCTAACCACAGCCAAACGTTGCCACAACGTTGGGCCAACCATTCTCACCACAACCCAACGTTCCCTCAACGTTGGTCCAACCATTCTCACCACATCCCAACGTTGCCTCAACGTTGGTCCAACCATTCTCACCACAGCCCAACGTTGCCTCAACGTTGGTACAACCATTCTCACCACATCCCAACGTTCCCTCAACGTTGGGCCAACCATTCTCACCACATCTCAACGTTGCCTCAACGTTGGTCCAACCATTCTCACCACATCCCAACGTTACCTCAACGTTGGTCCAATCATTCTCACCACATCTCAACGTTGCCTCAACGTTGGTCCAACCATTCTCACCACATCCCAACGTTGCCTCAACGTTGGTCCAACCATTCTCACCACAGCCCAACGTTGCCTCAACGTTGGTCCAACCATTCTAACCACAGCCCAACGTTCCCTCAACGTTGGTCCAACCATTCTCACCACAGCCCAACGTTGCCTCAACGTTGGTCCAACCATTCTAACCACAACACAACGTTGCCTCAACATTCGTCCAACCATTCTAACCACAGCCAAACGTTGCCACAACGTTGGGCCAACCATTCTCACCACAACCCAACGTTCCCTCAACGTTGGTCCAACCATTTTCACCACATCCCAACGTTGCCTCAACGTTGGTCCAACCATTCTAACCACAGCCCAACGTTGCCTCAACGTTGGTCCAACCATTCTCACCACAGCCCAACGTTCCCTCAACGTTGGTCCAACCATTCTCACCACAGCCCAACGTTGCCTCAACGTTGGTCCAACCATTCTCACCACAGCCCAACGTTGCCTCAACGTTGGTCCAACCATTCTAACCACAGCCCAACGTTGCCTCAACGTTGGTCCAATCATTCTCACCACAACCCAACGTTGCCTCAACGTTGGGCCAACCATTCTCACCACATCCCAACGTTGCCTCAACGTTGGTACAACCAGAGATGTCCAGGAAAATGCACCCTCTCCTGTAATTAACGTGTTAGCAGCCTTACCTTCTGCTAACATCTCAGCCTGATGAAATTTGGGCTCACTTTTAAGCTTTTGCTTGATTTTACAGATTATTACAGGATTCATGTACACGACTCGAGGGTATTATGAAGTGTCTCTGTGTGAGTCTATGGGTCTCTGTGCGAGTCTATGGGTCTCTGTGTGAGTCTATGGGTCTCTGTGTGAGTCTATGGGTCTCTGTGTGAGTCTATGAGTCTCTGTGTGAGTCTATGGGTCTCTGTGAGTCTATCGGTCTCTGTGTGAGTCTATGGGTCTCTGTGTGAGTCTATGGGTCTCTGTGTGAGTCTATGGGTCTCTGTGTGAGTCTATGAGTCTCTGTGTGAGTCTATGGGTCTCTGTGAGTCTATCGGTCTCTGTGTGAGTTAACGAGTCTCTGTGTGAGTCTATGGGTCTCTGTGTGAGTCTATGAGTCTCTGTGAGAGTCTATGGGTCTTTGTGTGAGTCTATGGGTCTCTGTGTGAGTCTATGAGTCTCTGTGTGAGTTTACGGGTCTCTGTGTGAGTTTACGAGTCTCTGTGTGAGTTTACGAGTCTCTGTGTGAGTCTACGAGTCTCTGTGTGAGTTTACGAGTCTCTGTGTGAGTCTACGAGTCTCTGTGTGAGTCTATGGGTCTCTGTGTGAGTTTACGAGTCTCTGTGTGAGTCTATGAGTCTCTGTGAGTCTATGGGTCTCTGTGTGAGTTTATGGGTCTCTGTGTGAGTCTACGAGTCTCTGTGTGAGTCTATGGGTCTCTGTGTGAGTATATGGGTCTCTGTGCGAGTTTACGAGTCTCTGTGTGAGTCCATGGGTCTCTGTGTGAGTTTACGAGTCTCTGTGTGAGTTTACGCGTTTCAGTGTAAGTCTATGGGTATGTCTGTGAGTATATGAGTCTCTGTGTAAGTCTATGTCTCTGTGTGAGTTTACGAGTCTCTGTGAGTCTATGGGTCTCTATGTGAGTCTATGTATGCACGTTGAACTTCTTTCGCACCGTACATAGTCCAACCGTGGCTAATTAGCATGCGACTCGATCTAAATGCTTCTCAAAGCACTCGGTGCCCCTCCTGGACATCTCTGACAAAAACAGCTTCACGTGAGAATAGGGTTTTCCCCCTTTTTAAATCCTTTATATTAAGTTCGCTTGCTTGCTTGCGTGCTTGCTTGCTTGCTTGCTTACGACCGTGCAAATCTTTCGGTCGTTTTTTAACCCACTTCCCGTGATCCAATCGAGCTGACATTTTGCACACAGACTCGTTGTGCGAGACAATTAATGTTCGTGAAAATTTTTTCAAAAAATTTACACTGTTTAGGGAAAACAAATTAAATATTTAATTACCAATTGCTTTATACTGGCAGACAATCATCTGACCCATAGGTGGCAGCCATCTCAAGCCAGAGGACGAGATGACTCTAGCCGCCACGCATATAAAGGATTTATAGTAAAAACTTAGTTTTTACGGGTTATACTTGTTATGGCACCAAAACAGCTGTGTTAAGTTGTTAAAACACCAAACTGAAACCTTTTGACGAGGACTCATGTCTGCATTAACTACAGTACTTGTGGTCAGAATGCAAACAAAAAACACACTCTGATAATAAATGCGTTGTCTTTGAAACTAATTGGTCGTTGTTGTTTTTTCGTGGTGATGGTCGGATGGAAATTGACGGACCCTTCATCCAGCAGTGATCACTGTTTCATTGCTTTTATGGCTTTATTTTGGTGATTTTCGATAAGTTTTTTGGTTTGGCCATGTTTGTTTGTTGTTGTACAGAGTTAGACTGATGGCCTTAATCTAAGTTGTCTTGTGGTTGTTGTTGTTGTTTGACTTGCATCCCACTGGGATTTTTGCACACAGCGTTGGTGTACGGTGCTTTTTCTGCAATATTTTGCTGTCTTTTCTTGGATTTTCTGTTTGCACTCAGTCACATATTCACTTTAAGATGTTTTCATGTTTTTGTTTTTTGTTTGTTGCGGTTGCACCCGATTCAAGAGCCGAATGGCTCACAGGGCTATACCTAAGAAATGAATTCTAGATTTGAAGCTTTCGTGACTGCAAGTATTCATATTCTTAGGTTTTTTGGGGGGTTTTTTCTTCGGTAAAGTCACGTGACTTTACCGAAAAAAAAACCTAAGAATACTAATAAATGAACTTAAAGCAGTGGATAGAGACCACCATAGTCATAGCTACGTCATCAGCGATGACGTAACACCCTTCTATAAATAGCCCAACGCCCGCTATACGTGCGGTGACGTCACCCCATGAGATCATCGCGGGGGGGAGGGGGCGGCTACGGCGGTGACGTCACCCCATGAGATCATCGCGGGGGGGAGGGGCAGCGGCGACGGCGGTGACGTCACCCCATGAGATCATCGCGGGGGGGGGGGCAACGACGGCGGTGACGTCACCCCATGAGATCATCGCGGGGGGGGCGGCTACGGCGGTGACGTCACTCAAGGAAACGTTCCCGCCAAAAAAAATGGCCAAGTTAACCGCCAACCCCCTCCCACCGCTCGTTTTTATTGCATAGTCTGGATAAGCATAGGGCGGGGCACGCGCGCTCATTGGCTGCCCGCGGGGTCACGTGCCGGAAACTATGGTAACGAGGGGCGGGGCAAGGGGTGTGTCTAGGCTTATCCGTGTTACGGTTTTCGTTGAGTGTCCGGCCTAGATTGTCCACATCTTGTCTCGTGAGGCGTTGCGGCTAAGTTGTAAGAGGGTTAAAAGTTTTTACTTTTAACAAATCCCCTACCTAACGTACCTCAGTTTATTGATTGTGTCTTATAGATACATCTCCTTGTGTGACATTCCGTGTTTTTAACGCCGATCTTCGGTTGTTGGTGGTCGATTTGAGAAGAAGACGCCGTTGGAACTTGAGAAATTGAGGTAAATAATGAAACTTGTTACATTTTAGTTTTTTTTTGGGGGGGGGGGCATAAAAGTCTTTCGTGTGTATCTTTCGAGCGAATGTTCACGTCTCTGAAGATGTTTTTTAAACTTTTAAGTAAATTTTAAGGCGGGTTGCATCGCTGTGAGATGCGTATACTTGCGTGTATTTCTTAACGTAGCCATAATGCTATGCTTGTGTATATTTACCGGTGTGATAAACCACTGTGTGTGTACATAGAGTTAAAGTTAAAGTGTGTTGTATGGATGTATTACCGCACTTACCACCGTGGTGAAGTACGGTCAACCAAGCCCCGTGAACGACGCGGCCTTGCGAAGGCTTTTGCCCGCAGAAATACATTAACAAACGCGCTAAACAACACAAACTAATACATAATACAGTTTTTTTGGGGGGGTTCGATCGCGTAAATATAAATGTGTTTGTTAAACCCGACAGACGATTAGTCAAAGGTGTGTCGCGTAAACGAAACGTGCCAATTCGTTACTAACACCGGTTGTGTTGGAGAGCAAATACACAAAGCCGACGTGTAAAACACTAATATCCGCAGAGTATTACACAATTGTTACTATTAGCAACTGTTACTACACAAGTTTACATGTATACACGGTGTATAAAGGTCATATAACAACGCCCTTGCCCATCGGATGTTATAGTATATATTTTTTCCACCTTAAAACTCATTAATGTGTTGTGTTATAATAATTGTTATTGTTGTAATTTGTACGCGAAATGTCACTCCAAACCCTCTGTTTACCGTGCCCGGTCTGCTACAATTATTAACTACCAACGCCTTACGTTATTAAGGGACAATATAGGCACGTAAAGTAAAATAAAGTTGTATCGATTGTCTATAATGATTAACTACCAACGCCTACTTTATTAAGGGACAATATAGGCACGTAAAGTAAAATAAAGTTGTATCGATTGTCTAATGATTACTACTAATGCCTATTTCATTAAGGGACGATATTGGCACATAAAGTAAAATAAAGTTGTATCGATTGTCTATAACGATTACTACTAATGCCTACTTTATTAAGGGACAATATTGGCACATAAGGTTAAATAAAGTATCGATTGTCTAATGATTACTACCAACGGCTACGTTATTAAGGGACGATATTGGCACATAAAATAAAGTTGTATCGATTGGCCTACTTTGTTTAGGAGGCCATGCAGGCACTTGAAGTAAGAAAACAAACATTCAATCGATTGACTACGATGCTTTACTACCAATGTCCACCTTACCGAGGCATTGTTTTGAAGGTCAAACTGACTACTGACTACTACTTGTTGGACAAACTGAGCCCTGCCCCGGGAATGTGGAATGTCTCGGAGGAAAGGCAAGAGTGTCAAGCAGGCCAATCATCGCCCCATTGCATCCGAGAGAAAAAATTGTAGTCCTGCTTATAGATACAATGTCAGAATTGGGGGAAATCCGATGAGTTACAAAGCTATTTTTCCCCCACATATGTCCAGTAGGGGGCAGCGACAATCAATACAAACAACGATATGAGTGAGTTACTCTTTGGTTCTTTTGGTAAAGTCACGTATAAAGAAAAAATAATAAATTAAATAATAGCATACGACGTTTCGATTGCAACACAAGCAAGCTCCAAATTTAAGAACGATATGAGTTTAACACGAAGGCTTTCGCGATCAATATTATCCATAATACAGGTTGTTTTTTGGTTAGATCGCGTGAATATCAACGTGTCATAATTGTTTTTTTACCCTTCTATCTGGCAACAAAACTGACACCTTTTTACAAGGAGTCATGTTTGCATAGACCACAATACCTGCAGTCATAATACAAACAAAAGAACATAACTCTGATAATGTATGCACTGTCCTTGAAGTTGATTGGTCCACACCCGAGACAGCTTTCCTTAGAGCCTAGTCTCACATGGTGTTGGACCAAGGACAGTGCACATTATCAGAGTTATGTCTTTTGTTTGTATTATGACTGCAGGTATTGCGGTCTATGGAAACATGACTCCTTGTAAAAAGGTGTCAGTTTTGTTGCCAGATAGAAGGGTAAAATTATCATATTTTTACTGGCAAATGAGGTTCCCATAGTGTATAAACGTGTCGTTAAACCCGCTGTATCGGTGTGCTGTATTCGCAACGAATTGGAATTTTCTGTTTACGTGACAAACGTTACCACCATCCTGATTTCGTCGCTTTATCTTCTTCCTCTTCTCCGCCCCCCCTAACTGGGTGGTTGTGAGATGTTAACTACCTCGCCTGGGATACAGGAGGTCGTGGGTTCGATCCCGACCATGACGCCTGCTGCTGTATATTTGGACTTTGCGTTTCTCATCATCATCACGGTGACTAGGAGATGTTAACTATCTCGCCTGGTATACAGGAGGTCGTGGGTTCGATCCCGACCATGACGCCTGCTGCTGTATATTTGGACTTTGCGTTTCTCATCATCATCACGGTGACTAGGAGATGTTAACTATCTCGCCTGGGATACAGGAGGTCGTGGGTTCGATCCCGACCCTGACGCCTGCTGCTGTATATTTGGACTTTGCGTTTCTCATCATCATCATCACGGTGACTAGGAGATGTTAACCACCTCGCCTGGTAGACAGGAGGTCATGGGTTCGATCCGGACCATGACGCCTGCTGTATATTTGTAGTTTGCGTATTTCATCATCATCACCACGGTGGCTAGGAGATGTTAACCACCTCGCCTGGTATACAGGAGGTCGTGGGTTCGATCCCGACCCTGACGCTTGCTGTTGTACATTTTTAATTTGCGTCTCTCATCATCATCACGATGGCTAGGAGATGTTAACCACCTCGCCTGGTATACAGGAGGTCGTGGGTTCGATCCCGACCCTGACGCCTGCTGCTGTATATTTGGAGTTTGCGTCTTTCATCATCACCACGGTGGCTAGGAGATGTTAACCACCTCGCCTGGTAGACAGGAGGTCATGGGTTCGATCCCAACCATGACGCCTGCTGTATATTTGTAGTTTGCGTATTTCATCATCATCATCACCACGGTGGCTAGGAGATGTTAACCACCTCGCCTGGTATACAGGAGGTCGTGGGTTCGATCCCGACCCTGACGCTTGCTGTTGTACATTTTTAATTTGCGTCTCTCATCATCATCACGATGGCTAGGAGATGTTAACCACCTCGCCTGGTAGACAGGAGGTCATGGGTTCGATCCCGACCATGACGCCTGCTGTATATTTGGAGTTTGCGTTTCTCATCATCATCACGGTGACTAGGAGATGTTAACCACTTCGCCTGGTAGACAGGAGGTCATTGGTTCGATCCCGACCATGACGCCTGCTGTATATTTGGAGTTTGCGTATTTCATCATCATCATCACCACGGTGGCTAGGAGATGTTAACCACGTCGCCTGGTATACAGGAGGTCATTGGGTTCGGGCCCTGTCCTGACGCCTGCTGTATATTTGGAGTTTGCGGTGTCTCTCTTTCCCCGTGGTGGCATGCATTTTTCTCCCAGTTCCTGTTTTTTTCCCGTACACATGTTTAAACGTGCACTTAAAGAGTATTTAGTGTGCTATAAATCCCCGCGTGATAAGTCATTTTGTTGGGCAATCATTGGTGATAGCCAGGTTGCTTTTGAAAGAGAGCTATCTGTGTACCTTCAGTGGACCTTACATGGTAAAATAAAATGTTTTTTTCAAGTTTCATTATGATGTTTCCTGCCCTGGACAACTTCCTTTCCTCGTGGTTCTTGTGGTCCCTAATTAAATGTCCCCCGGTTCACGTGGTTCTCTTTCGGTGCGTGTTCCTCTTTCTGCCGGTTTCTCACTAATTCCGAGCACGCCTCTAACCCCAACCGACCTCTACGCTTCCTTGCAACTTCTTCGTTCATCGATCCTCGTGATCCGCGATCTGTACGGCGTAGCCGACAGTACGCGCTGATTGAAAATGTGAGGAAAGTTGCTTTGCATTATCAAGTTACACATTCTCACGTCCCCTATGCCTTTGTGTTCTCAAGTTCCTGTTTTTTTTACCCTATGCGTATCTTCCCCCCCCCCCCCCATCGCGTGCCTCAGTCCCTGTGTGTGTGCGCTTCAAAGTTCCCAGAGCCTTGCACAAGCAACATGGTGACTTCACCGCCGCCTAGTGGCGACTGTTTATTGGTGCGTGTCCCATTTCCCCGTGTTCCCGTGTGGCAGAGGTCGCAAACGGGTTTTGATTCCTTACCCGTACCCGGCTGCACCAGGGTCGCAAATGGGTAACCGTACCCGTGGTTATTGCAAACATGATGCCTTGAATAAAGGTGTCAGTTTTGTACCAGTTTAAAAGGGTAAAAACCTACTATTATATTTTGCCACTGGTAAAAGAGATCTCATAGTGTAAATGCTTACCCCGAGCTTTCAATACTCTTATATTGCACTGTGTTTGAGTTGTACGCCTTCTGGTGTCATCTGGTCCAACACCAATGGGGACTAGGCTCTAAAGAAAGCCGTCTCGGGTGTGGACCAATCAACTTCAAGGACAGTGCATATTATTATCATTATCAGAGTTGCTTCTTTTTGTTTGATTTTTTGACTACTTGTGTTGTGGTTATTGCAAACATGATGCCTTGAATAAAGGTGTCAGTTTTGTACCAGTTACTCACCAGTGACTCACGGCCTACCCGTACCCGGCCGCACGAGGGTCGCAAACGGGTACCCGTACCCGGCCGGGTACGGGTAGCCGGGTATCGGGTAGGGTACGGGTATCGGGTACCCGGTTGCGACCTCTGCCGTGTGGGTGTCATCCTCCTGTCCCCTTTGTCTCTGTCCACATTTGCCCCAAGACTCTTTCTTCCTTGTTGCCATATCAACCTCTGTTTTGTCTGACTTTGTATGCATGTGCGTCTCGCACGTCTGCACGTCTCACCGTATCACCCGTGTCCGCCCCCCCACCTCCCTTGTCCCCAGTGTGCCCTGGTGTGTCCCGGTCTCAAGACGTGAAATGGCGAGTGGAGGCGACGGAGATGGGGACGATGGGTTTTTTCCGCCACCGACGCCGCCGTTCCAGAAAACACGCCGTCCGTCCACCCTGTTGCCGGACACCGGTAATGACCCCACCAGCAACAACAACAGCAGCAGCAGCAGTGATAAATCCCTTGATCATTAACAGAAGCTTATTGTAAGAGTAAAGTCCATTGCGCTAAGAAGCTGCTTTTCAAGGGCGACTCGGCCGGCAGGCAACATCAAAGCAACATCAAAGCATTCCATGTCGTTGCACATGAGACACGTGTTACATGCGATGTTGACTTCCCATAAAGCGCAGCTACTGACCTCCAGAGTAAAAAGCGCATTAAATGAATGATAGCGATGGTATTGATGACGATAATGATGACAGTAATGCTCCGTTTAACACTTGACGACGGTGACGATAGTTTTCGATTTAAAGCTTTCGTGACTGCAGGGATTCATCTTCTTGGTTCTTTCGGTAAAGTCACGTGGAAGGGAAGTAATAAAATAATAAAAATAAAACACAAAAAAATAATTCTCAAAATAATAGTGAATAATTCTCAAAATAATAGTGAGAATTATTTTATTCTGTTTTATTTGTATTATTTTATTACTTCCCTTCTACGTGACTTTACCGAAAGAACCAAGAAGGTGACGATAGTGATGCTACGTTTAACGTATTTGATGATCGCGATGACAGCGACGCTTCTGCTCATAATAAATATTTCCCCGCGTCTGATCCCCGCCCCGTGCCAGAGGAGAGTGTGACCCAGCAAGCGGAGGATGTGTTCCGTAGCTACGCGTACCACCGCTTCCAGACCGAAGCTCAGCACGATGCCGAGAACGGCCTCTTCACACCGGCGATGCCCGAGATCATGGAGTGTCAGCAGAACCCACTAAGGTACACTCGCCGATCCGTCACGTGCCTTCTGATGATTCATACTCTGTGGTGGTGTGATATTCTATATATGTGTGTGTGTGTTGAACTTCTTTCGCATTGTACGTAGCCAACCATGCCGATTTGGAGGAGCGAAAGTTTAATACCTTGCCTAGTATACAGGAGGCCGTGGGTTGAATCCCGACCTTGACTCCTGTATATTTTGAGTTTTCTTGTCCCTCCCTGTGGTCGTGTGAATTTTTCTCTGGGTCCTCTAGCTGCTGTTATAATTTTCCACGCGATAAGCCACTTTAGTTGAGCTATCATTTGTGTTAATTCTAGATTTGAAGCTTTCGTGACTGCAAAGATTCATACTCTTAGTTTTTTCGGTAAAGTCACGTAGGTAAAAAATTAAATTAAAATTAATAAAAATAAAATAATTAAAAATCACGACGGTTTCGGAGTATCACTTGATGCAGCAAATCTGGTTGTGACGGTCCCACCTGATGACGGAGACTTGTGTTGCCTCCGAAACGTCGTGATTTATTTTATTTTAATTAATTTTTATTTCATTTTCTATCATTTGTGGCCAGATCGCATGTGAAAAAGAACTGTACAGCTCAGTGGGCCTGACCTGGTAAAATAAAATTAAAAAAGTTTCAGTTCTTACTCTTAGGTTTTTTCGGCAAAGTCACGTAGGTAAAAATAAATAATAAAAATAATAGAAATAAAAATATAAATATTAGAAATAAAATAATAAATCACGACGTTTCGGAGGCAACACAAGTTTCCGTCATCAGGTGGGACCGTCACAGCTACATTTACTGTTATTTATTTTTACCTACGTGACTTTACCGGAAAAAAACCTAAGAGTATGAATCCTTGCACCAGGGTCGCAATCGGGTACCCATATCCTACCCGATACCCGGCTACCTGTACCCGGCCGGGTATCGGGCAGGGTACGGGTACCCGATTGCGACCTCTGGGATGAAGCCACGTTGCAGGCGCGGGTGGGTTGATTCTAGGAACTTGAATTGTGAGAAGAGACAAGACGTTGGGAAATGAGTGACAAACGGTGACTCACCAGTGACTCACGGCCTACCCGTACCCGGCCGCACCAGGGTCGCAAACGGGTACCCGTACCCGGCCGGGTACGGGTAGCCGGGTATCAGGTAGGGTACGGGTATCGGGTACCCGGTTGCCACCTCTGCCTTGCAGTCACGAAAGCTTCAAATCTAGTTTAAATTCTTGTTCCTCCATCTCATCGTCTGTCTACTTTGCTTCCTCCTTCCCTCCATCGGCCTTCATTGCCTTGTTAATTTTGCCCATCTGTATGTATTCATGTTGAAGTTCTTTCGCACAGTATGTGACCAACCGTGTTAATCGGAGGTGCTAGCTTGATGTCCTGCCAAACTCTAGTTATGTTTCTTGTGTTGCTTTCTAAGTTATATCTGTTACCTGAGTGTTAAATTATTATTCTTAGGTTTTTTCGGTAAAGTCACGTAGGTAAAAAATAAGAATTAAAAAAAATAAAATAAAAATCACGACGTTTCGGAGGCAACACAAGCTTCCGTCTTCAGGTGGAACCGTCACAGCACGACAGCTGTATCAAGTGAGAGAAATTTCAAGAAAACAGTCCTTGTATATATACTGGTTGAGGGTGGGAGGAGCCAAGGGAGGCCCTGGATATTATTATTGTGAGGTTCGGTGCGGCTGAAGCACGCTGCTAGGAATGAGCCTTTGTTGTGTTAAATTATTGACCCTTTTTGATGATAGTGGTAATGACAGTGATGCTGTTGATAGAATAATGCTGAAGATATTGCTAATAATGATGCCAATGTTGAAACGAAGATTATGCTGCTGATGATAATGCTGTTGCTGCTCATGCTGAAGATAGTACTGTTGACTATCCTATCAACGATTCCGTTACCGGTGGTGCCGTTAATACCAGTAATATGATTTATTATAACACGATTGATGATGATAGTGAGGGTGTAATCGAAGATGCTGCTGCTGCTATTGATGCTGATGATCCTATTGTTGATTTGGATGATAATGATACTGTGTGTCTGCAGCCCGTCCATGCACGTCGGAAGGCAGCTGGCCATCCTGGGAGACGACATTAACCGACGCTACGAGCCGGATTTCCAGCGCATCCTCTCTCAGCTGCAACTCACGCCTGAGACAGCGCACCAATGTTTCAACAAAGTGGCTGAGGGGTGAGCGTGTGAAAAGGGACGCACATACATACACGCACACGCGCGCACGCGCGCAAAGACGAAGAATGCCCGTGTAAATTTTGATTTAAAGCTTTCGTGACTGCAGGGATTCATCTTCTTGGTTCTTTCAGTTCTGTTCTCCACCTGAGGACGGCTGCTTGCGTTGTGGCCGAAACGTCGTGAGAATTATTTAGTTATGTTTTATTATTTTATTATTTCCATTCTACGTGACTTTACCGAAAGAACCAAGAAAATGCCCGTGTAGCTTACTTGTTTGGAGGAGCACCTACGATGACCGGCACGGCGTACGAAGGGTGTTTCATACTCGTAGATGACGAAGACAAAGATCCCCCATATTGGGCGCTTTCACATGCGCTTCTGCGGCCGTCTGGAACGCTCTTTCTCCTTTTCGATTTAAAGCTTCTTTCGTGACTGCAGGGATTCATCTTCTTGGTTCTTTCGGTAAAGTCACGTAGAAGGGAAATAATAAAATAATAAAGATAAAACATAATAAAATAATTCTCACGACGTTTCGGCTACAACGGCTGCTTGCGTTGTGGCCGAAACGTCGTGAGAATTATTTTATTTTATTATGTTTTATTATTTTATTACTTCCCTTCTACGTGACTTTACCGAAAGAACCAAGAAGATGAGCTCTTTCTCCTTATAATAGGAATCCACGGGAGCTGTGCACTTTTAAATATAGATTTTAAAACTAATTTCTTTCCAACTGCTTTGTGTGTTTAGTTTGCTGTCCTTCCCCCGCACCTCCGATTAGCACGGTTGGCTACGTACAGTGCGAAATAAGTTCTACATCACATACATACATAGCCTTAATAGACTATCGGGGCAAGTGCTGTTAGCTGAGCACATATGAAGGCCGGCACGGCACACGAGGGGGTGGGTGGCCAGCCCTAAGTCTGGCCGCCTTTGTCTCCCCAGTGGTGATGTTTTACACAATGCACCAGGTACTCATTCTTTGGTTCTTTCGGTTAAGTCACGTCTAAAGATAAAATAATAAATTATTTAATAGCATATTACGACGTTTCGATTGCAACACAAGCAATCATCATCAGGCATAAAAGAAATAGCAACAAAAATCTAACTAGAAAACTATAGAAAGACATACAAACAGACAGACATCACAAGGACACACAGAGAGAAACACATATCGGCACAAAGAGAGAGGTCGTTTCTGTGACGGTGCCTTAAATATAGGGAGGGGGAAGAGAAAAAATTAGCATATCAATGAGTGGACGGCAACGTGATGCTGCTGCAAGTAAGATGACGACGCGGCACGGCACGCAAGTTTATATGCTATTATTAAATTAATTATTTTATCTTTAGACGTGACTTAACCGAAAAAACCAAAGAATAATTCCTGCAGTCACGAAAGCTCCAAAATTAAGATTCACCAGGTACTCATTTGATGCCTAGCGGAGGCTGAGGACCGCTTCAAATATTCGCCACTGTTTTTGGTCGTGAGTGGGAATTAAACTTGGGTCGCTCACAGATACACACACGAAGACACATCCATACAAACATATAGTGTTATATCGGCTTTTGGGGAAAGTGCTACAGGTGAGCATATATTAATTCCTGTACGGCACGGAAGGGGGGCGGGGTGGCGTTAGCCGTGTTCGGGAATTAAACTTGGGACACCTTGTTTGCAGAGGTCGCAACCAGGTACCCGATACCCGTACCCTACCCGATACCCGGCTACCCGTACCCGGCCGGGTACGGGTAGCCGTTTGCGACCCTGGTGCGGCCGGGTACGGGTAGGCCGTGAGTCACTGGTGAGTAACCGTTTGTCACTCATTTCGGGTAGGGTACGGGTAGGGAACGGCTACCCGTACCCGGCCGGGTACGGGTACCCGTTTGCGACCCTGGTGCGGCCGGGTACGGGTAAGGAATCAAAACCCGTTTGCGACCTCTGCTTGTTCGTAACGTCGTGCGCGAACCACTATTCTACCGTTGGAGTACGCACACCAAATGTGAATTCACCGTACAGCCTCCGCAGGCTGTTGGGGCAGGTGTTGCTAACATGCACCCAATGTGCAAAGGGTTGGTATTTCCAGAACCAGACCCGGGCGCGTTTTGGCTTTATCGTGTTCATGTTTACAAAATTCTAAGTTGACCACGAGACACCCTAGCACTGAAATCCATCTGCACATACAAACAGACGTGCATGCATGTGTATACAGATGCACACAAGCACACGTACACACACACACAAACACATTTACTCGTGTTCCCTTGTTAGTCACGGCCGGGAATCGAACTCGGGTCACCGGGTTAATTGTGCAACGCGCACACCATTCTGCCGATGCGGTCACCTCAACCCAGCCAGTTAACAATAGCGCAACGATAAATTGGTTCAACGATAATGAAATAGATATTCTTAACCTCACACCTGCTCACTCTGTCTACAATTCAATCTCCCGTTGTGTCTTCTGCCTTTTACTTATTTCTCTCTCGCTCTGCTGTATCCTGGCGGTTGGCAACTTCTCTTAGGGTAAGTATTGATGCTCCCTCTCCACCCTCTGCACTTTAATCTTCGACTTCCACCCTTGTACCCTGCACACCCAAGATTTCATCACCCTCTCTGTGCGTGCATGTGTCCGTGTTACCGTGCGGATGAATAGCGTCACTGTTATCTTTAACATCAACAGCAGCTTCAGCGTCCTCCTCCTCAATTGTGTCGTCAATAAAATCGCTGACGGCATCATCGTCATTGTGACCACGTGTCTCCCTTATCCCTCCGTGTCCCCGTTTCTGAACATGTCTCTGGTCTCCCCATGTCCCACCGTGTCTGACCACGTTTCCAGGTATCCGTGTCACCACTCCCCCTGTGTCTGACCGACTTCTTGTCCCCATGTACCACGTGTCGTCATGCCCCATGTATCTTACCGTCTCCCCTGCGTCCCCCCGTCTCCCAGTGTCTAAACATCTCACCCATCTCCATGTGTCTACTCCATGTCTAACCATCTCCCCTGTCTCCCTGTGTTTCCCACGTCCCCCCATGTCTAACCATCTCCCCTGTCTCCCTGTGTTTCCCACGTCCCCCTGTGTCTAACCATCTACCCCGTCTCCCTGTGTTCCCCACGTCTCAGCGTGTCTAACCATCTACCCCGTCTCCCTGTGTTTCCCCTGTCTCCCCGTGTCTAACCATCTACCCCGTCTCCGTGTCTCCCCTGTCTCCCCGTGTCTAACTATCTCCCCCGTCTCTCCATGTGTCACTCGTCTCCCCACGTCTCCCCGTGTCTAACCATCTACCCCGTCTCCCTGTGTTTCCCCTGTCTCCCCGTGTCTAACCATCTACCCCGTCTCCCTGTGTTTCCCACGTCCCCCCGTGTCTAACCATCTACCCCATGTCTATATCTCCCCCGTCTCCCCATGTGTCACTCGTCTCCCCATGTCCCCCCGTGCCAACTCCTAACTGGACATGTGTAAAAAGAAGAGCTTTATAGTTCAACGGATTCTTCCGGCATACATAAAGATTCTGATCTATCCCATGTAGAGTCTAACCATCTCCCCATGTCTGTCGTCATCGCCCCCCCCTCCCCCCAGGCTGTTTGCGGACGGAGTGAACTGGGGCCGTATCATCGCCCTCATGTGCTTCGGTTACCGTTTGGCGGTGACGGTGTTTGAGCGCGGAATGCGCGGCTTCTTTGGCCGCGTCGTCAGCTTTGTCACCGGATTCCTGCGCTCCAGCCACACAATCGCACTGTGGATCGTGAGCCAGGGAGGATGGGTGAGTGAGATTGCCGCGGCAGGCGCGGTTGTACACGGTACCAAGACAACAAGGTCCCCCCCATGTCGCCTGAATGGACTGATGGGGCAAGTGCTGTTAGTGAAGGCTGGGAAGGCGCACACGAGGGGGTGGGTGGCCAGCACCATGCCCAGCTGACTTTATTTCCCAAGTGGCGATGATCACACACGTGTTACCAGGTAACCATTTGAAGCCGAGTCGACTTAGGGGAGGCCCAGGACCGGTCCAAGATTACACTGGTCAACAAAAAAAAAGCATTTTTTTCTGGCCTGGACTTTTGCAGCTGTTCTAGACTAATTTCAGGGTGCTGATTCCAAATCTGATCTCAGATTTGCTCTATCACATCTCATTTTTATGCTATCGGCATACCCCATTTTCATTGATTTTACCCGAAATTAACTCTGTCACTTATGATTGCAAGTTGTTGCGAGTCAGTGACTGCTTTAGTGTTAAAATATGTTGCTGTATTTTTAGGATAGTGTGTTTATAATATCATTTTATGTAGATATCCACATTTATTTAATATTTTTCTTCTGCAATTTTTATTGAAAATGCAATATTTGAGATCTCAAAAACCTGATGTGATAGACAAAAACTGATGCCAGATTTCGAATCAGCACCACAAAATTACCTTGCAACCGTTGGAATACCTTATGCCAGAAAAAGTGTGTGACCAGTGTAATTAATCATCATCGGTGTTGGCCGTGAGCGGGAATCGAACTCAGGTCGTCGGGTTCGAAGCGCAGCACGCTAACCGCTACACTACCGCTCCCCGCAAGTACACAGTACGCACAGCACTGAGTGTGCAGCACACACCATGATACGGCTCATCAATCACCAAGGGGAAGGGGGGTGGATTTGGGTGAGATCACAGCCCGCGAAGCAGCAAGCAGTGCACAAACACAGTACACGCAGTACACGCAACGCACGTACATCCGATGGACGTGGCAGTCGGCACACACAACAGCAGCCAGTGCGGAGCATACAACATACACTAACAAGTATAACCCGTAAAAACAAAGTTTTTCACTATAAATCCTTTATATGCGTGGTGGCTAGAGTCCTCTCGTCCTCTGGCTTGAGATGGCTGCCACCTATGGGTCAGATGATTGCATGGCAGCATTAAGCAATTGGTAATTAAATATAATATTTTTGTCCTAAAAAGTGTAACATTTTGGGAAAAAAATTTCACGAACATTAATTGTCACGCACAACGAGTCTGTGTTGAAAATGTCAGCTTGATTGGATCACGGGAAGTGGGTTAAACAACGACCGAAAGATTTGCACGGTCCTAAGCAAGCAAGCAAGTGAACTTAATATAAAGGATTTAAAAATACCATAGCGTACAGCGTGGGACACAGCGCGTAACGTGTTTAGTTTGTTGTCCTTCGACCGCACCTCCGATTAGCGCACGGTTGAATGCGTACAGTGAAAAATAAGTTCAGCATACATGCACCATATAGCAAGCAGTACAGCATACAGCACAAACCTTCCAGCATCCAGCGCTCTACAACAGCATGCCACACATTATTAAAACTGGATCTGTCCAATGCCAGACACTTTCACATTTTTCCGTAGCTTTCAAAGCCCCTGTTGTTGATGTTGTACTCTCGTGTGCGTGCGTGCGTGCGTATGTGTGCAAAATTCCCGACCCAGATGGCTGTCATGCGGGTCGGAAATTCAAACATTTGGATGTTTGGAGCAATCATCACCTTGACCGTCCTCTTTGTGGTGCTGAAAAACAAGTATTCTTCATCCTGAGAAGACCTGGGCTTTGCCACCACCACCACCACCACCACCTCCTCTTACTCTCTCCCTGTTTTTTTGTATTTTTGTTTACCTAACAAACGTCTACCTTAATCGGACAGGTTGGTCAAACGCAGGTTTCCTCTCGCTCTACGTGGTAGTAGTAGATGCGTTCCAAAAAAAAAGGGGGGGGGCACAAAGCGAAACCGCACGAGGAGACGGCTGCCTGCCGAGTAATGCACTCGGTCCACACACACACAATGGTGTATCTGTGTGTGTGTGTATCTCTGTAGATTTCTGTGTGGGTGTGTATCTGTGTGTGTGTGTGTGTATCTCTCTGTGTGTGTGTGTCTCTGTGTGTGTGTGTATCTCTGTGTATATTTCTGTGTGTGTGTATCTCTGTGTGTATCTCTGTAGATTTCTGTGTGCATCTGTGTGTGTGTGTATCTCTGTGTATATTTCTGTGTGTGTGTATCTCTGTGTGTGTATCTGTATATTTCTGTGTGTGTGTATCTCTGTGTATATTTCTGTGTGTGTGTATCTCTGTGTGTGTGTATCTCTGTATATTTCTGTGTATGTGTGTATCTCTGTGTATTTCTGTGTGTGTGTATCTCTGTGTGTGTATCTCTGTGTGTGTATCTCTGTATATTTCTGTGTGTGTGTGTGTGTGTATCCCTGTGCGAGACAGCCACCTGCCTAGTAGCGTGCACAGTACACGCCGTACACGCACGTTACATGCAGTACACACACACGGTACATAATACTGTCCCACGTCCGACCGCATAGCCGCATGTCGAAATGGGTTTTGGCCGCGCGTGCAGAACGCAAAATCGCAAAAACCCAAACCCGCGTAGAGCGAGGTAATCCTGCAGCTGTTCCCTGAAGCGACGGACATCAGCTCACCGGAGTTGGCGTTTGCGCGTGAATATTCGGACTGCACGTGTGAAGCACAGCGCGCTGTTCACGCAGCGTAGCGGCGCGGGACGTGGCGCTTGAGCCTCTCCGTTTGCTGGGAGGCGACGCAGGGAATTGCCACTCGGGCGTTTGCGAGTTTGGTTTCGGTGGCCCCTTGCCCTAATGGCAAGTGAATGCGTTAGGAAAGAAATGGTGAGGGAAAGCGGGGGGGTGGGGGGTTGGAAACGTAGCCGACCGTGGCTGTCTTGTATACATAGGCAAATGTGTATAAATGCCGAGGTGGAAATGTTAAAAAAAAAAAGTTTAGCGTCGAGGGCGTTTTTTTTTTCTTCTATCAAACGACAGAAATTGCCGCCAAACCTTTCGCCCGATGAAAACACGGGCGTCGAAATCTACCACGGTGCTAAACCCATTCACAACGCAATATGAATATGTGCAATGGACTGACCCTTTATATAAATTGCACAAGCGCCGTCAAAAGCCATTCAAAATCACGCCGTCTTGCCTGAACATTCCACGTTAACCGTTTTAACGCTTCAAGGGGGAAAGCATATCGTGGACTTCCCGCGCGCGGATCAATGGTGTTTCCTATTTGGGATGACGCCCCTCTAGGTACACAATCCGGGACATGTGCGCAGAAGAATATCTCACAGTAGCAGGAGCGTTGGGGGGTGGGGGGGGAAAACGAGACGTTATTGTATTGAGTGGTGCATCATGATGTTACTGACAAGAACCAGGATAGTCTTGGGAAGACAATATCCCTGGACAGAAGCTTCCACGAATAAAAGGAAAAGTTCTAGGAAAACCAGGACAAGGTTGGCAACACTAATAACGGATGTGCATCGGTATTCCTGCGGGGACAGGTTCAGTGGAATTTGGTGGCATTCAAATTGGGTTCTGATGAAGTCTGTATGGGACAGTATGGAATTCCAGTGGGGAATTGGAAGCGTTCCGATGTAAACGTACGTCGTGTTTTTAGTGGGAGCAAGTCGCGTGCGAGCGCGAAGATTATGCAAGAGGGTGTTGAGGCTTAAAGATATCTTGTGTAACAATACGAAAAAAACTTTAGCGTTCGGATGTGTGTGGGGAGAGGGAGGGGGTGAATGTCTTGTCTCTTAAATGTTTCTATAGAACCCTTTGTTTTTACGAGTACCGGTTGCATTGCATGCAAGCGTTAAACTTTCATTACTTTGTATCAATAACGTGGAATGATTGGCGTCGCGCGGAGAAAAAATAACTTCTGAGCCCAGAAACCTCTGCAATAGATTTGGGTTCAAGCCTTTTGGGGTTGAATCTCTCTGAAGGGTTCGTAATGGTCATGTCAGAGCCGCTGAGCCGTTAAACCCCCTCAAAGTCTTGGGTTGGAGCCCCTGGGTGGAATGGTGATCTTCTTAAAATCCTATCTTTAAACCTGGTGGTAACGCAACTTGAATTGGGCCATAACCGACAGACTCTGGGGGGGCTACAAAGTTAGAGAGAATATCCCTAATGCAGTGTGACTGACCCAAGGGAACGCAGCCTCGATGGTTCCTTATTCTTTGACGGGTCCCCAAAAAAAAAGACCAAAAAAAACCCCAACAAAATATGAAAGTAAATTATTACAATTGCAATTCCACTAACTGTTAAAGGAGTGTGTAAGATATTTAATTTTTCAGAATGTCTGCATGCCTTTTTAAAATTTGCGCTCCGTTTTATAAATTAAATGTAACGTGTACATTTGTTTTTAAAAGCGCGTAGTCAAGCGGGTGCTCGTGACGGTGATGTCGTATTTGAATCGCGACGATTGGCACGCGCTTGCGCGTACATTTTTTTTTCTCTGGGCTGGTGGATTTATACACGGGAAGAAAAATAAAGACAATCAATGAGGCCTGCTCGTGGTTTATGTTGGTTATTCGCTGACGTAACATTTTTGGGGTTCACAATAGCATCGGCCACCGAGATCCTGGGTTTGAATCCAGGACTCGCACTCATGTAGTTCACTGTAGATATTGGTACCAGCTCTGGAAGCAACTTTAGTCGAACCGATTTATGCATATGCCTCATTGCGAATTATTGGATGACCTACTCATGATTCGGGTGCCGCAGTGGTGAGATGTTAACTACCTCACCTGGTATGCAGGAGCTCATGGGTTTGATCCCGACGCCTGAATATTTAGAGTTTGCAAGTTCCCGTGGTCTCTATTTTAGAATCAACAACCGTTTCAGGAGTATTTGTCTGGTATAAATGTCCACGCGATGATGAGGCACTTCGTTGAGATGTCATTTGTGGTCAGGTCCCTTATGGAAGAAGAGCTATAGAGCTCCATGAGCCTTACCTGGTGAAATAAACAGTTTAGTTTACACTATGAGACATCTCCTTTACCAGTGGCAAAATATAGTAGTAGGTTTTTACCCTTTTAAACTGGTACAAAATCGACACCTTTATTCAAGGCATCATATTTGCAATAACCACAACACAAGTAGTCAAAAAAGCAAACAAAAAGAAGCAACTCTGATAATGATAATAATATGCACTGTTGCTTCTTTTTGTTTGGTTTTTTGACTACTTGTGTTGTGGTTATTGCAAACATGATGCCTTGAATAAAGGTGTCAGTTTTGTACCAGTTTAAAAGGGTAAAAACCTACTACTATATTTTGCCACTGGTAAAAGAGATCTCATAGTGATCACGGAATTGATTCCGAACACAAGTAGTCAAAAAAGCAAACAAAAAGAAACAACTCTGATAATGATAGTAATATGCACTGTCCTTGAAGTTGATTTGTCCACACCCGAGACGGCTTTCTTTAGAGCCTAGTCCCCATTGGTGTTGGACCAGATGACACCAGAAGGCGTACAACTCAAACACAGTGCAATATCAGAGTATTGAGAGCTCGGGGTAAGCATTTACACTATGAGATCTCTTTTAAACAGTGGAAAAATATAGTAGTAGGTTTTTACCCTTTTAAACTGAATAAAGGTGTCGGCTCGCTTTGCTCACCGTGGCCTAAGAAAGAACAGTGGACATGCGAGTTTGCTACAAATCAATAACTGCTGCCACCCAAACGAGATGCAAATTCCTAAACTATCCCAGTTAAACCTGGACAGGTGGCAACCCTAAAGCATGGCCGCAACGGGACCCTAACGGGCCACTCGCTCACTGGGGCGCGTGGTTCGTGAAATAAAATCCAGACAAAAATATCTTAAATAAAATATACATTTTATTCTCGGGACTTTTAAAACTTTTTAATTCGTAGCGAAGTTTCGTACAAGTCACCCCATGTCTACGGCGCGAGCGAGGGAGCATTGCCGCTCAAACCGTTAATGCCTTGAACTGTTGCGGAAAATGCTGTGTGA